GAAAAATGGATTTAACACTTTTCCGATGTTATAAACAATTTTCTAAGATTCCCAGTACAATATTCACGTACCTACCCCTCAACTGATGTACCTACGCTCAATTCAATTAAGGAAAAAATGGCACTATTGCCCGCGCTTTGTCCGTTTTTCCGTATGATTGATCGTGGGGAATGCTCTCGCCGTCCTTTACAACTCCATACGGTCTATAGTAACCCCTCAAGAGGCTGGAAGCGGGGTAGACGTAGAAAATACATACTCTGAAATAATGAAAAATAATTCTGAAAATGGCATTGTTATAAATGTCAACGTAAACTCTGCCCTTCGGAAAATCAATGTCAAGAACAAACAAAAAGTGCGACCTACTCAAGAAGGCCCATGATTCGATGGCAAAGGTATGTAAAAGTGGTAACGAATGGCGACCTAAAACAAATCAACAAAACTTAATTAGAGGTTCTCACACAATTAGCAACTACACTATAAAAGCTGTTACCGAAAAAGGACATCTGTATGTTGGGAGGCTTCAACCGGAGCCATCGGCTGAAGCTCTCCGCACTTATCTGCTAGAGCCGTTCTCTGGTACCCAAATCACTACAGACTTAATAAGTAAGTGAGATTTTGCAGCATCATTCAAGGTAACCCCTTGAAAATCTATGAGGTCTTTCTATCTAAGGTACTATAATGAAACGATTCTTCTTCAAAAGAAGTGAACAAACGGATTTTCGGTTAGTGCAAAATCCTGCCGGAGACACTTAAAAATAGTGCCCAATTAGCCCAAATCTTCAACAAACATTTCATATGTAGATAGTGCAACTGCAATTGGCAATTTTATTCATTTTCTACTGTGGTCTACTGGTCGAAGGAAGAAAGAACATGAACTTCGTCGTAGAAATGGATTCATGGGGAATGAATCCATTCTACATCATCTCTGGTCAATATTAAAATCTATAGCAATGACTAAATTGCAAAACCTTTAAGCCATATCACAAACGACGTTTATACCAGAGGAATTTTCCCTCAATTTCTAACCACTACAAGAGTAATCCCTGTATATACGAAGGGCGATCGGCATCAGTTAGAGAATTATTCTCTTGTTTTCCTCCTTCCATAGCGAGTTCGTTAATACAGCGTGTTCCTAAACATGATGTAAATACAGAAGGAGATAATTTTTTGGATAATTTTGTCTCTAAAAATTCATGGCCGTAAACGCTGCATTCCCGATCTACAGGGTGTTATAATTTCACCGTATACAATTTAAACCTTTAATTTATAAACATATGCCAACACAAGATACAATTTCAAATACGAACTGTCAAGACTAATAACAAGAGATTATCCAAATAAAGTCGGGGCCTACTGGCCATTTTAAAAATTTTACTTGCATTTGGCCACCGAAAATTAATACTTTTTTCTCGATAACGGATACAAAAAGAACTAAAGACTGAAAGGTGGCGCACCGGAAAAAAGTTCAGGGATCGAAAGTAGAAAAACATTCCCCTGTAGATTCTCACTACCATTGACATGACCAATGATTTAAGGGTTTAGCGTAAATATCTCAAAAACAGCAGGATACACAGAAAAATCTTGAAATTTTAACACCCTGTAGATCAGTAATGGAGCGTTTGCGAACTTATGTTTGTATCACAAACTCTCAAGTGTGAATGAATACCTTAACGAACGAGATATCGGAATAGGATAAAGGGATAATCTAGATGAAGCGCATGGGCTACTTTGAGTCACCCTTTTCAACAACAAAATTGAGGAAGAATGATTCTGTGCTACTTGCACTTGGCACTATTCATATGAATATCGTACAGAGCTTTAAATATTCAATTATACGGTAATAATTAATTAACTTGTTTTTACTGTGTTTAAATATTTCCATTTCTTTGACTTTCATTTTCACATCTTACAATTGAGATAACTTTTAAATTTTAGTATGCATCGTAACGGGTGACCAAATAATGGCAAGCAACTGGATCTTAGCAATGAAGATAGAGAGAGTAAAGATTTTTTCTACATAAATGTGGTTAAGAGACAATACTGAAAATTATTTTTAGTGTCCTGCAATTATCAGTAGTAGGCGAAACTCCAAAACAGAAAAACCGGATTTCTCTCTAGAATTTTACATACGAGGTGTGTGTCCGGAAAATATCGGGATTAGTCTCAAAATAACAAAAAGTATTCACATTTTTGTACAGTGACACAACAAACTTCAAAATAAGCCTCCTTTTTCCAATGTTCATAGGCCTTCTGATACTGTAATCGCAACATTGTTGAAGCACTTCGTCGAAGCGTCTTGAACCATTCGAATCCAGTCAAAATGCCGTCCTTTCAGGTCTCTCTTGAGGGAGAACAAAAATGTAACTCTGAACCAACGTTTCACAGACGCTCTCCACTACTACTCCCTGTAAACTATATAGATCTGCGTGCATTCTTCTATCCAGGGCAATATCAATCCCGATTCTTTCCGGACACACCTCGTATATATCGAAAACGGCATACTCGTGTTCTCTGTCTTGTAGAATATGGGGTGGTAGCAGGATTAAATGTGTTCATAAAAAGCTATATTTTTTTGTTTCAGGGATTTACAAATTACATCCAGATGACCTTTTTTTACTCAAACTTAGTCTTTTCATACACTTGCGATGTATGCAAAGGTAAATGTAGTGTTCCACTAAAATTGTTGGAGAAATAAACCAACATCACGTCCGAAATATCTGGTATATAATCCAAAAAAGGTTAGAGCATTTAATCCCGCATCAACCATTTATATTTTAAGACACTGAAAAATGCCTGAACTCGAAAAATGCCTACGAGCATTTTATTTTCAAATTTTCCGAGTTTCGGTATATTATTCCGTTAACATTTTACAGAATGTCGCGTTTCGTATACAGGGACTGTATACTAAAGTCACTTCACGCCCACGAATGGTGGGTTAATTTCAAAATGGCAATACCTAATATTGTTTAATCGTCAGGGATCTTTATTCAATCAATCACAGTTGTTTTCCACAATCCACACAGTAAAAAAAGTAGACCAAGAAGCGAAATTCCTGGGGGAAGAATGATCTCGGCGCAAATTGCCGAGCTGGAAATTATTGCGGGATAGAAATATCCTTAAGCGATATACCAGGGTGGGAGTTTACAAATGTACCTATACTCTTCCATACTTTTGAGACACTTTGTAAAATCAATCCTGAAAAAATAAGGATTTCCAGAGATTGAGAGTTTGCCTAATCTAAAATTGAGCACAATAAAATGTTCAGGGAGCGAAATTATTTTGTTTGAAAAGTTTTATGGAAAAACTGATGACAATTTGGTTTTTTAATACGTATCAAGTTTATTTGGAGTTTTCAAAGATTTGTTATCTTCATATTAAAAAGTTTCCGTAAGTGTGCCATCTTGAGGTAGGAAAAATCTAGGGAAAGTTGTCTGGACTATTCCTGCTGACTAAAAAGGAAAGTATGAATACAGCTTTTAGCTTTTATCTGCTTGAAGTTCTTCTTATAATATGTAATCGTTTGTAGCTCTGATATTAAATAACTGAAGGTAATTAATTACATGTTCCAGATCCAGGATTTCATTTTTTTTCAAAAATTGGATAAATATATATTGCGCGATGTTATACATTCTAAGAACCCGATGCTTAATCGTGTTTTTTTATTTGCGCAATGCAGTGTTTCATATTTACTGATTAACCGTTAGTTTCCATACTAATACAGTTTGTAATAATGTTAGATTTACTCGTCAATTGTCCCCTAGTAATGAAATAAATAATAAATAAATAAAGGCAATAAAAAAAACGGTTTGAGATTGTCAGTGACTTTCTTACAAAATGTGAGACCAAGAGAAGCTGGTCATTGGTCTTTTACAGAAACACGAGTTTGCAAAAAAAAACGTCTACTTTGAGTCACCTTGTACATAGTAGCTATCTGATACCGCTATGATTCAGTTACAGCGATCAGCTGCACCTTTTCGGGAGTAGCGATTAATGATAAAACGTGATCCATAAGGTGCCGAACGATCTAAATCTACGCGAAACTTTTCGAAAACGTTCAACAGGAGAAAAGTGCCACCTCATTATTGAATTTGAGAGCCACAGATTTGAGACATCATTTTCTATTGGAAGAGGCAGTGCGTGTCTGTAGAAATTGGAAATTGAAGGAAGTAACTACTATTGTACAGTTGTATTTTTTATTGAAAGAAAAGGTACGAAAGAACATCCCAATTCATCGTCGATTTTGTTTTCATGTAAAATTTTTCATTAAAAGTCAAGTATGTAGGTAACTAAATACTCCAAACGACCTCCTGGGTTATTGAAGATTTAATTGCATTTCTTCCTTGGATGATGATAAACAATAATACCTACTGAAAACATTATTGGAAAATTCGAAATTGTTCGCGATTTACCATGTATACAGACGGGCGGACAGAATGTCCAAAATCATGAACTCGCTTTTAGGAGCTCGATCATAAATCCATTTATTATGTGGTTGTAAATGTATTAAATAGAATCAAAACTCCTAGTCAGTACAACATTATTTGTTAAATTGTCGTGGTGACTAGGAGTTTGGATGCTATTTAAGTATGTAACAAAATCTGGTTGCTTCAAATTAACAAAAAAAAGTTGCGGGGCCAGGGGGGAAATCTTACTTTTCATATTTGGCCCGTCTGGTAAAAAGGTTGGCCACCCATCTAGGACATACCCAAAATTGCCAACTCCGTCTGTGAACGATAAATTATAGTCAATTTCATATTAAATATTTAAACATATGGAAGCGAAATGGGTTCTTGACAGAATCATCGATGTCGATAAACCAGAATTTCCTGGTATACTAGGAAGTAGTAATTTCGGTTGATTATTTTTATTATAAAGCATCGTAAAACGATCGATTAGGTAATAACGTAAGTATGAGGTCACCTAATCATCAATGAACTGAAATATAATTGATGAAGGTTGTGAGTGGAAGGGGACAGATTAAAAAATGTATTATTCAAGTACAGTCGAAATCAATTTAGTATAACCTTCAGTACTACTTAACGAACCATTCACTAAATTCGCAAAAACAGCTTAAATATTAACAAATGTTAAGCACTTCTAACGTTCAGAGTGTTTTAATGAGTAATGGAGCGTTGGAAAGATAAAGTGGCTGTCGTTACGGGGGCAAGCTCTGGTATAGGGGAGGCTATTTGTAAACAGTTGGTCGCACATGGGTTGAAGGTTAGTATGGTTGCAAATTTCTTACGCGCTTTAAACTTGATGGAAAGGTTGTAGGGTTAGCCCGCCGCAAACATCTAATCGAGCGTAACGCTGAAAAACTTCAAGGGGAGAAAGGCAAATTATACGCTCTGTGTGCAGATCTTTGTAAAGAAGAAGACATTTTACACGCCTTTGATTGGATAGCCGAAAATTTGGGCTCGATTGCCATTTTGGTCAACAGTGCGGGTATAGTACACGCCAATTCTCTTTTGGACGGTGAAACGAAAGCGTGGAAGGAGACTTTTGACACGAACGTACTTGGCCCTTGCATCGCGACTAGGGAGGCTGTAAAACTGATGAGGAGGAATAACATTGATGGTCACATTGTCCATATTAACAGCTTAAGCGGCCACAGGGTTTACAATTTTCCCAACATGAATGTATATCAGGCGACAAAGCACGCAATAACCGCACTTACTGAAACACTTCGACAGGAATTAGTGTCACAGGGAAGCAAAATAAGGGTTTCGGTAAGAGGGTCGACGATCTCTTTTTAGTTTAGACACAATTTCTGTGTAGAGCATCAGTCCGGGTAGTGTCAGGACTGATTTCATGAAACAGTCCTCGGTACCTTTCCCAGAAGAAATTTTTGAGATGCTGAAGCAAGCACCCACGCTGGACCCAAAAGATATAGCTGACGCTGTTTGCTACGTACTAAGCGCACCTCCTCACGTGCAGGTAAATTAGCTTTATGTGTTAAATTGTAATCAGTTAGTTTTAGATTCACGAGCTAATCATTAAGCCCACCGGGGAAATGTTGTAGCAGCCAATTTGAACGCCGTCGCTAGTAATAGCGTGAAGATGCTGCGCTGAAATTATTTTAATGGTATATCGGAATGTGTTTAGCTATGAAGTTTGTAGAAAAAAGTCATGATATGGAATTTTTTCCTTCATTTTTTTTTGGTTTATCGTTTCCTCTCCTACACACCTTTCACAGTCTATTTACCACTATCTGCAATATTTTAACCACATAATGTGGCACTTCGTTCCCTTCTCCACTTAATCAAAAGCAAATTAAATTAACAGTGCTGAATTTGCTGGTGCAATTAAAAGCGTTTGATAGTTCTTACTCTAGGTTTTGATAATATGGTTCTTGAGAGTGAAGAACAATATTATGCCGTCTTGCTTTCTAAGGAAGTCAACGGCCAGATGCCTCGGCGAGATAATTCAATTATACACTATATCCACTAGCTAATTTTCATTATTCCTAGTGATTTGTTTCCCGAAAGCGTCAAATTAACATTACTCCTCCTTAAATGCCAAGGAGCAAATCGAACTGGACGCATTGGAACTGCCGTGGCCGCTAAAGTTATAAAAAGGGGAGACCAAATAAATGACAATAAAATACTAAAATATCGATCGCGTTTTAACTAGTCAGGGCTACTTTTGAGAAAATCCAAATGCTAGGAGCATTTCGTGTGGTTTTTCCCTATTTCGGTCTCGCTGAATCCGATTTTTGGCAAAGTCGAAAAATGGACCGGCAGGGAGATATTCAAGATGGCGGTTTTTGGACCACCCTGGCGTATTCTTCATCACCTGATTTTTGCAACTCAAGGTTCTGGACCCACGTTTTTAGGGCAAGGAACACGGTCGGACCGGAAGTGTAAAACCGCGATTTCTCATATTTGGGCCAAAATGGTGCTAAAAATTCCGGTTTTTCTACCTTTTTTCAGAATGATCTGAATTTTAAAAGACTGGTATGCGCACATAAGATTTTGGTGTCAAGTAGCACAAACGAATGGGAAAAAAATGAGATCGGATATAATAGAAACGTGATTCCATTGTGTTCCTTGACCCCAAAAACCTATCCCCGTACACCAGAATCTATAGAAATGTTTAGGATCACTTTGGCCCATATGAGAAATCGCGGTTTTTCACTTCCGGTCTTATTTTTGACCGTTTCATCTTATTCATTGTGCCCAAAGAGGTTAAGTCCCGACCCTGGAACTGTATAAATCGGGCATTTTAGATGGAGAATATGCCAGGGTGGTTCAAAAACCGTCATCCTGAATATCTTCCGGTTAATTTTCAGATTTGACAACAGTAGTAAAGCACTATAAGGTTTATACCTCGAAAGTCAATGAATATTTATAGCAACCTTTTAACTGTGTTTTTAACGGTAGGTATAGGTACATACAGAACAATGTTAAAATTATTATTTTATGCAATATCAATTTTTTAATTTTTAAAATAAATAATTGTTTATTTGTCGTAGTTTTCGTTTATTTTTATTAGTGCAATGCTGCATTTTGAAAAGGAGATCTATTACAATTACAAACTTGTCCTTGTGCCCCAAGGGACTGCAGGTAAAAGGTGACGGGTGGGGGAAATTCTAAAAGGGACAAACAGCAGCTGTTCGGCGTTGTTGGATATTTTAAAAAAAGTTATCAACACGCTGATTCAACCGATGGGCGAGTCAAAAGGGACTACATTGACATGACGTGAAAAAAAGTGGAAGAATATTTTATCCAATATCCACCATTCCCCGATGTTTCTGTCATTGACAAATCGCAACTAGAATAGCTGGCCAAGGAAACGTGAATTTCTACAAAAGTTTTGAGGAAGATTTAACAATAATGAAGAAAACAAATTGCAAAATTTTTAAAGAAGTCAAGTTATCAATAGACTGCGGATTTATGGCATTTTCCTTATACGTTAATGTTGAATATAGAATGGTTTTTGTTCTGGATTTATACGGTTTATTAAAAAATAAGGCGTTTAAGCCTATTTTTATTTTGCCTTTTTTAACAATGGCGCTTTAAATGCTTTTTGTTTGCTTGTCTTTTAAGTTCATGCTTAAATTGGAATAAAAAACCAGCAGTTTCTAAATTCTTAATTCGTCGGGTAATTTATAATGTGCAATAAAATAATATCTGGCAACTGGCAAGTTAATTTAATGCACAATAATCTCACAATTCTTTTTTTAAACTTTTTTATTTGAGTTTTTAGCAGTGCAGTCAAAAATTGTTTATGAAGATTCACTGACTAACCCTGGAGCCTGGATTCCAAGATTTTACAATTTTTATGCCTTATGGCGCTCCACTACAGGTAGTATAGGATTCAGGGATTGAAATAGGTGCAACCAGTTGTAAGTTAATTGTTACACGAAATGTTTCTTGCATAAGCAAGGAGAGCTTTTACTGAAAGTGCCCCTGACTAAACAGCAAAGCTGTCACCATCAACGAACAACTGAAATTTAACTATTAATAGACCTCTGTCACTCTTAAAATTTGAGATTCGCAGAGAAATTTTGTTTAATGCAGAAGATCGATCATCCCTTTGAAAAGAAAAGAATATTGTGGTTTTAGGGTCAGAAATAATGTAATGTTTGTCTAAGCGTAAAAGGAAATTGATTAAGTAAGAATGTTGTCAACAATGCTCAAAAGCAAACATGTCCTGTACGAACATATATGCGGTTTTCTGTACCTATACTCTGTTGTGAAATGACATGTTAGGCGATATTTCCATTTCAGATTCAGAGAGTATCAATGTTAGTTTTAATTCAAATGTAAGTCCAAGTCAGCCAAGATGTAATTCAAAAACTATTAAACGTGATTCAAAGTCGAATGAAGAAATGAAATGCAATGCAAAATTTGCATTCAGTTATAACATAACGTACCTACTCTTTGGACTTCCATAAGCATTAATACGAGCATTAACTGAGACCGCGTTGCCATTTAACTCGTGTAATTTAATCGTACAATATTAATCAGAATTATAAAGGACTTAATGGAATTGGATTTTCAATGTGAAGTTTCCCAATTACAAATGATATTTTGCGAAATATAACTAAGTAAACTGAATTAAATTTGATATTCTGAGATTTAATTTACTACCTTAATTTACGCTTACGCGAATCATGGGTAACGAGTTATAAAATTACAATGTCATAATAAAAAAATAAGCTTTCTTTTGTTGTTTTTGTAATTGCCCGAATGCCTTGTCCCTCAACCCCTTTTTTTAACATTCGATTCGAACAACATATCAGATACATAAAAGATAAAATTTAGGTAATTATGTAAAAATGTCAACTTGTGAAAATTTTCCAATTAAGCTTATTTCCTGTCAAAAACCAAATTTCTATTGTTCCTTGAAAACTAATAATTTTAGACATCGAGTGGGTTATTATTAACATTTATAGAATAAAATGCAGAATGCGTGAATTAAATAAAAATCACGCCATTTAAAATAACAAAGTTGGTATCAACTTACGGCCTAAGCGAAAGTGCCGCCATCTTAAAAAAGTATTCTCGTTCGATCGAAAAATGAGCCTTATTAAAATATTAAAATACAAACCTGTGACTCAAAAGCCAATAGCTAGAGAACACTCGTAGATTCACCCCTCTATAACGTGTACGACCTCGCATGAGAAAATTATTTTTGCGTTGTTAATGACAAAGTAAAAAAAAACTAAAAAAAGCGTGAACAGAACGCAGAATCTGACCCAAGAAGGAAAATTCCCTTTGGAAAAGTGTTGGGTATTCACATTTCTTAATCAACATCCCAACATATTATCAAAGAAAATTTTAATAGTGACTTTTTAGTCTAGATTTTGTGTTCAGTTGACGAAAAGTGTATTTTTAAATTTTGAAATTTAAAAGAATTATCTTGAACGGTTTCCAAAAACGTCAAATTGACAATGGTCGTGAAAGACGCTGTAAAGTAAGGTTAAACTATAAAATATGAAGCATTTATCTCAGGATTATAGTGATCTGATCTAAAACTTTCTTGTTAAGAAAATGCCCTGCATATTTGCGCTTATTTTGGAAGACAAGTAAACTGTGGATATCATTTAACAATTAATTATAATAATAGGGTAAGCGACAAAGTGATTCAATGTACAGGGTGTCAGAAATCGCTGGAAATTATTTTCAAGTTTCTAGGTTTGCTGCTAGAAGGCGTACGATTATTTTCTAAAACACAGTGCAGTTCTCATGTAAATGTATTTGTCTAATAATAATTCATTAGTTAACGATCTATTCTGGATTCATTGCTATATAACTGCGACCACACGCTAACTAAATTCTGTGTCGGTATTCTGTAAAGCTTAATGTCTTTCGTTCTTTAAATATATATTTATGTAAAATGGGTTAAGTGGAAGAGCAGAAGTAGGAGCTTGAGCAACTACTATCTGAACTTCGCCGTTTTAGTTACTATTGCTCTAGCAATGTACTCACTTGTTTTGTTTACTGAATTGCTAATATGGGTGCAATATGTAACCAAATAAAGGTATTATTATTATTATTATTCTTATTAAATATACCCAAAAAGCATGCTTAAAAACTACATGCATCGCAATCTTATATGAATTTTGAATCATCTTGACGCTTTACCTCATAAAGTATGAACAAAATCTTTTTAGTAAACGTGAGGAGTGGTAGAGGGCGCGGATTGACATTAACATGATGCTTTAATTAGTTAAAAAGATTTTTTTTAGAAATTAAAAAAGTTAATAAAAATAATATACATGTTTTTTTCCCCCAAACCATCCAAAAATGTTAATACGATTTTAAGGGTATTTTTTCCCGATTTTTTCTTCTAATTGAAACAATTTTCGGATTACATTAATCCCTTTTTCTATATGATTAATTCCTTCTCGACTAATATTTCGAATAAAAACAGGGTAACTTTGGCAGGGCTGTTTTCAGTGGGTCGAGTCGAGTGTACTTCTTTGTTCTCTTTGTCTTGCATTGCAAATTGACATTTTTTTATTTTTGCATTCCTTTTTAAGAAACGAAAAGGGGATAACCAAAAAAACCCAATTGAATACTTAGATGCCAACTAAAATTACCAGAATTGAAACTCGAAATAAGACCCGAAAACCTCAAAACTAAGCTAATAATCCCTTCACCTCCCAACAAGGCACCCATGAATCAATCCTAATAAGTGCGTG